CAATGCCATTGGTGACTGTGTGGTGCTCTGAGCAGGAAAGGTGGTAGATTTAGGAGTCAATTCTTCAGCAGTAGAAACAGTTGTGGTTGGAGAAGGAGATGTTCTGAGGAAATGTGAAGATGGACTGTGCTTATCTGTAACGCAAGTCTGTGGTCAATTCTTTAGCTGATGTGGGTACACTGGTCAGAGGGATCAATCGGGTGGTATCATCTGTATTCACGAGGTTCCTTTGTGTGGTGATGACACCTTCTGTTGAGCTTTGCGGCACTAGAATTTCAGGATGAGTTGCCAAGAACTGTTTTCCAGCAATAGTCTGTACAGGACCAGAGATCAAACCTCTGTACTTAACAAGGTGCTGGACTGGTAACAGGAGAGTGAGAGGACTTGAGAGTGGTGATGGTTGTCAAAGCTGGAGACATTTGGGCTAAGTGCTCATGGCTGGAAGGGCTGGCACAGTGGAGAATTCTGTTAAGGCTGGGGCAAAGGACCTCCAAAGGAGAGCTCATTTTACAGCTTTGGTGGACTTTTGGACAAAGAAACCAGGGTTGGGGATTTTGCTTCCATGACGACTTTCTCTTCGTGTGGGTGCTCTGGTTCTTGGGGTTGTTTGACTACTGTGGAACACTTTAATGATGATGACATTGTTGACGTCTGAATTGAAGTCACAGGCATCTCTCTTGCCTAGGCAGGACCGGGTAGAAGATGAATGTGGTTAAGATTTGTGAGACAGAAAGTGGGTCATAGGTAATTGCTGTCAAGGATATTGGTAAAAGGTGATGGTGAGGAAGATAAAGGTGACTGTCTCAGAGGTAGACATTAGCTGATGTGTGGAGGCCCTGGTTGATGGTAAAGTTGATGAAAACAACATGGTGGGGTTGTGACACTGAGGAAGAGGCAAAGGGAGCCCTGAAGAAGAGGAGTCACCAACAGATTCAGTACTGGCATCCGGAAGAACCAAAGTGTTTGGCATATTAATGGTGGGATGTGTAGGATGGAAGTTGGATGATGCAGAACCAGTGACTCAGTGGAAGGCTGAGCATATTCCCCATCATAAATGAGATGCTACTTCTTTCAGTACGAGTAGGAAAAGAGGAAGAATAGTCTAAATATGGAGAGTTTGAAATCTTAATATAAGAGGTTGAGCTCTCGCTGGTGTCTGAGGATGAACCATTATCTGTAATGGATAGTAATGTCCGTTCTCCTTTGGTGAAAGTAGATGAAACATAGGTATGGTCTGTGTGGTCACTGGAAGTCCTTTGCTCAGAGTCTGTGCACCACTTGACCATAGCTATGTTCAGTGACTGCAAAGGGAAAAACCCAAAGTTAACAAGATATCTTTGAAACATGCATTATAAAACAGATTTGCTGTCTCTTATCCATGAACTCAAGGAGTGAAGAGTGGTTTCCAATGGTGCACACTCTGAGTGAAAACAATGTAAAGGCTAGGCCAGCTGTCTGCTCTAAGTAGATTTATCTCTGTGGGGGCGCAGCAGTGCAGCAATAGAAGTGATAATAAAGAGAAGTGAGGACCAGGGGTCTAAAGTCAGAGAACAGTTACAAATTCCTTCCATATACTTTTTTTTCTTTTGATAAAAACAAAATGGTATCAGAAAACTCTTAAGAACCAAATTAAATAACTGTTAAGCTTAAAAGGAAAAAGGAAATAGGAAATCCCTCTCATCTTTCTGTTCTTTATAATGAGACATTTCTTTTCCAGGACCTGGACCTTAACTATAGTGTTACTGGTCTCCTTTATTTTAAGCCTGGCATGTGAGGTGATGGGGTGGGAGTGGGGTGGTAAATTGTTGTAAGGTAACTTTTTTAGATTGACCTCCTAATCATCCTAGGACCAGATGGGTGGAGGGAATATGGAAAAGGAGTCTGTTGAGCACACACTACCGTCGGCAGTAGACATGGACAGCAAGCCTGCTTGCTCCGTCACGTTCCCGAGCTGGGTGGTACCGCATGGCTGCCCACTTCCGCTTCCGCAGAGGTCGCGGCGAAGGCTGAAACCGCAGAGTGTGCGCTCACCACTTCCGGTGAGCGTGCTGAGGTGTGCGAGGCGCGAAAGCGCGCCCCGGAAGTGCTCTCTTCCGCCTCGGAATGATCGCCCACGCAAGGTTCTCTTCCGGGGCTGAGGAAAAAGGGGTGGTTGATAAATGCCAGCGCCCTACACTGAAGGGACCCAGATGCTTCCCGGGGCTTTCTCATGGCTTCTGCGATAAAACGGGCAAGGAACTGTGGATCAGTGCCTCAGTTCAGGTGTCCTGGATTTATGGGAAGGTTTATTACTCCAGCGAACAGGATCAATACTGGATTTCTGCTCGGAGATACATAACAAGAGTTCGTGTCAGGGAAGTTGGTGGTGGCAGCAGGGGAGGTGAGTTGGTGGCAAACGAAGATGTTGCTGGGCTTTCGATATCGAGACAAGGCCCAGGGGAGACTCTGGGTCTTCTTCAAGGCCTGCATTTCTATAGTTTAGCACATGACCAAGAAATAGTGTGTGGTTGGAGGTTAAAAGTGGTCTTCGGGTGTTGTGTGTGTACATTTTAATGCATTTTTTTATTGATGGAGATAGAAAAGAAAAGGGATAACGAATAAATTTCTTTTCCCTCCTTTGGGGGATAGATGTTGTACACTATAAGCCTAAAAATAATCTTAGAAATATATAGACTATTAAAAATCTTAGACTATAGACTGACAAAAGTGAAGTCTAATTCTTCCTGGCCTAAATCCTTTATAGTCTGGTTTTTGAGAAAAGGGAATTTCTTGATTCTTATTTCCATTCTAAGCCGAGACTACCCCCTTGTTATCCCATGGACATGCTTTGATGGAAAATGGATATAAAATTGTTAGGTTACTTCAGGATAGACTTGAATTGACAGGGATCAGCATGAGGACAGGACATCTGCTGACCTAGAGCAGCAGCAAGCCAGGAATTAGAAAGGTAATTTGGGACACCAATGGGAAGTCACCCAGGAATGTTTGAGAGCAGAGTATTTGAGCACAGTTTCTGTGGACAAAGAGGAAAAGGCCTTGGACAGGGAGTCATTAAATCCTCTGTTATACAAAATTTAGATAAACAACATCAGCGTTATAGGCTCAATAGAGTAGAGAATCATGACCTGAGACAGAGGGTCTAAATCAGCCCAAAAAAGGAAAACTGAGAACTTTGAAGGAATGGATTGCAGAATCAGTCAGCTTTGGGTGATTCAGAGGAAAAGAGATAAAACAATTGTTTTAACCCACAGTGATGTCATTTCAGGAATGAGGCTACTCCTTATATAACTTTTGTAACTGAACCCCAAATCTGACCACAATGAAATCATATTTTTCCTCATGAACCAACTGAGCATTAACTGCATAGAGGAAGGGTACAGAAGAGATATAAAAGGGAAAGCTATGGAACCTAAAGTCATGGTTTGAGAAGGCAAAAATCCTAAGCCCCACAGTAGTGAGTATAGAAAATGATGTCTTTTGTTTAGGAGATAATGTATTTCCCATGAATAGACAAAAAGGGTATAAATATCCTCCACCCATATGTGTTTTATTCTTTCATGATCACCATATGTTTTTCCATGCCACATGAGTTGTAATAAATGGAAAATTTCCTCATAAGTTAGGATTCATATATGAAGGAAATGAAGTTACTGTTATTTGTAGTGGAGAGGTAAAAGTTTAAAATCTATTAAAAGCTTCATGATAAATTAATGCATTTTTTATTTCATCAGCAAACACTTTACATTGTAAGACTAATGGAAATTGTTTTATGAAATTACCCCAAAGCATTATTAAAAAGGGAATAAAACAAGAGAAACTCTTACACTCAATAATAAAAAGACAACCCATTTTTAAATAGACAAAATAATTGAAGTGTCATGTTCAAAGAAGATATACAAATGGTCAGTAAACCACATAAAGATGTTTGACATCATTAGTCAGCTAGGAAATGCAAATCAAAACCACAATAAGATATCACTTCCTATCCACTTGGATAGGTATAATTTAAAAAAAAAAGATGGACAAGTAACAAGTGTTGGTGAAGATACAGAGACTTGGAACATTTGTACACTGTTGTACAAACGGTATAGCCACTCTGACAGTTTCTCAAAAGCTTAAAAGTGGTGCTATCTTATAGCCCAGAAATTCCAAGAGAACATATGTTCATATAAAAACTTGTACTGAATGCTCATAAGATCATTATTGATAATAGCCAAAAGGTGGGAATAACATAAACATCTATCAATTGGGGAAAGTATGTATCTACTGAAATATTATTCAGCCATAAAAAGGAATGAAGTACTGATATATTCTACAACATGAATGAATCTTGAGAACATTATATGAAATGAAAGACACAAGAGGCTGCTTATTATATGATTCCATTCATAGGAAATGTCTAGAAGAGGCAAATTCACAGAAACAGAAAGGAAATGTGGCTTCCAGAGGCTAAAAGATGGATAGAATTGGAAATAATTGCTGATGAATATGGGGTTTTTTGGAAGGGGGTGATAAATACATTATGTAATTAAGATAATAGTGATAGTTGCACAACTTTGTGAGTATACTGAAAACCACTGTATACTTTAAATGGGCAAATTATCTAGAATAGGAAGTAATATCTCAAAACTGTTTTAAAAGGGGGAAGAATTTCCTTTTGATGAATGCTCTGAATGACCTGGAGTGAACAATGGCTCATAAGAAAGTAACATTTTCACCTTTCAGAAGCTCTGTGATTGAAGCTGGCATGAGGGTGTGGGTAAGTTTTAGAGAATGGGAAGACATGGACATAGAAGTCCCTGAGTTGTGTGTGAGAGAAGAGGAGGTAGGAGCAATAGCTTCTCAGATGTACCAGAAAAAAAAAAGATGGAATATTCTAGCTGTGTCAAACCAGTGAGAAGAATGGCTTGGGAATAATGAAACTTGAGGGACCTAAGGATTCTTTTATTGATGCATGCTTTAGTGTACCATAGAAGATCATAAGCATCATATCAGTCCCTCTCCCCAACCTGTGGTACATTTGTGTGAAGTGAAAACTTACTTGAACGTTCTCCTCGTGGTGCTGAGGAATCCAGGCTTTCTGAGAAAGACATAGAGGAAGACTCTGAATAGCTTCTCTCACCCAACATTGGGTTATTTCCTCTGGACTGTTGAGCAGAGTCTGAGGACTGGGTCAAGACTAAAGTGTTCAAAAGTTCAGGATTTGAAGCAGAGTTTTCTGTCACATCTGCAGATGTCTTGCTCTTAGGGAAGAACCAGTGTGCTGTGCTCTCTCCACCTCTGATGACGGGGACTGATCTAAACAAAGTCTCAGTCTGCGTCCTGGATCTTCCATTTCCTGCTTCTGAGTTGTTGGCAAGCTGATGTTCTCTGAAGGCTGTAAGATATTATAGAAAAAAAATGCCATTACACGAATATGAAAAAAGGTCCTCAATGACTTAGAAGTGAGTTCTCTCTAAGGAAAGGTTCCCTTTTCCAAGGAATCTTGTATAGTGATTATATATGTGTCACCTGACATGCATTATCATATGTTAAATAATTATTTCAAAACTCTTAGGTATCAGCAAGATAACAATACTAAAAATAAAAGTTGATGAACAGAGGACTTTTAAACAGCATGTGCAAATAAGAGTAATTTATAGGCTTAAGTGTTTCTATTTCCTTGAAAAATAGTTTAGGGAGTATGAATTATATCCAATACATATGATGTGCATAGATATAGTACATAGTCAAAGCACTTTTCTAAAACATTTGCAATATTAATAAATATTATTTTAATTCTGAAGTATAGTAAAGAATCAACTGTAGGAAGTAAACTAAACTATTAACTTGGGAACTATATTTATGTCTATACATTTATTTGTAAAGATGATCTGTACACAAAATCACATTGTAAAGAGTGGGCCAACTCTCACTGTGGAAACAATACTGTAGAGTGAAAAGATGGAACCAATTGTGAAAACCCCAAGGCTGAAGTCTTGACTCAGCTGAGTACGCTAAGTGGCTGTGCATGCATTACATAAACCCTCTGAGCCTTAGTCTCCTCAGCAAGGAGACTAAGAGCAGGAGTGATCACCCTGGCCCAGCTAACTTTACAATGTTGTCATAAGGGAGAAAATAAAAATGCAATAATGTGATATAGCAGATAAAGGAGCCGGTGTCATCAAAGAGCACACTTTTTTCAGAGTTTGCAAATGGTCCTGAAGAGACTTACTAAGAAAAATTTCTACTTTAAAAATATTTCTACCTGATCAAGTAAAGATGGAATACTCACTTGGGGAATCATTTTGCCAATGTAAAGATGTAAATCCAAATTCATTTTCTGTGGATGGCTCAATGAATTCTCCATGTCCTGGATTCTCGGTTACTCTACTGTTTGTTCTCGATTCTCCCACAGAGGGTGACGAATGGACTGAGGCTGAAGTTGTAGCAATTTTGGAGTCCTCAGGGAAACCCTCTGTCTCATTTATAGGTGGTTCACTGACAGTCAAGGACCGGATCATCCTTGAGACACCATCAGTAAATGTGGTGGCAACTTGCATACTCTTTGTCTGGCTGATTGATGGGCTTTGGAGAGCAGTGGAGTTCTTAAGCCCATTTATACTTCCAGAAGCTAAATCAGAAGAAAATATGGTACACAGCTACTCACAGGGTTAAGAAAATCAGGTATGTATCTAGGTACAAATAATGTTTATTACGTTTTGGTATAAATCTAAGTACTATGAACCTAATATAGACACAAACATTTGTGTATGTTTATACATGCATGTGCAACCAGGGCACACTCATTCACCCCCCACTAGTTCTAATTGTCATAGAGCTGAATGGAGAAGCAGTCAGGCCCCTCACCAAGCATGATAAAAACTGTGTGCAAGCTGAAAGGAAGGTAATAGAAAGCAAGACAAATACATTGTTTGCTTTAGTTTTTATAGAGAAAAATGAAAACTTCTACTACTACTGAATTCTACATTATAGCTGAAATAGTACAGGCCATTGTGATAAGGCTTTTGTTGTTTTTTTAGCCATGTAACTCTTTTGATCAAATGCTATTATTGATTAAAATTCAGTCTATAGAGTGAATAAAATTTGGGCTACTACAGTGTGCCCAGTGCCCTCCCCCTTACCCCAATCACCACTGACAAGGCCTAGAGTTTTACATAACACAGTCAGGCCACTACCAGCCTAGGACTATAATTTCCAGCCCTGTCACCATCAAAGCTCCTTTATTATTCCCCAACTCATGGCCACCATAAATCTTATGCTTTGAAAGACTACTAACCAAACTGCATTCATTAGGTATCAGACAGAGCTTCTAGTCAGCAGGAGATATTTACTATTACCCCATGAATTTTATTTAATTCCATCTAAAAGTAGACAGCCTTCAGTGTTATAGTTAGTCTCATTAAGCTTTAGAGACCAGCTCACAAACCACTCCAGTGGGCCCCCCACGAGATCAAGGGCTCCAGGCTGGGAATAGTTTTTCTGATCAATGGATGGCAGCCATTGGATAATTGTCAAGAACCTCAAGAATTAAATTATATACCCTGGTCAAAATGCATGATCTGCTCCACATTATAGGTGGCTTGCTGTGATCTCTCTTCCACAAAGAACTTTTCAAAGGATACCCTGATAAGTGATCACCAGAGGAGTACATTAAAATCCTATTCGGTGGAGGATGCTTGCCTCACACTTGCAAGGTCCTGGGTTCAATCCCCAGCACTACACACACACACACACACACACAAATCCTTGTTCCAAACAGGAATAAAGTGCAGAAAAACGAGAGCAGAAAAACATGGCAGACAAGAAAAGAGAGTGCTTTTTTCTCATCTTAAGCTAAAAATAATAAAAAGTACTCTATACCTATATAATGAAAGGCTTCAAGCTGTTAATTATGACCCAGAAAAGGGTAAAAGGAAGTTGTCATTATAAACAATTTGTTGAAGACCAGTTGTGACCAAAAGCACAAATACACATTAGCTATATAGAGAAAAAGACAGCACAGGAAACAAAGGGTTCCTTTTACTCATTAAAAAAATCATAGACCCACCTATACCTAGAACATAGCCTGGCACTCTGATTGATAGACCTTCATGAAAACAAAATGAAGGTGAAGGCAATCCATAAAACTAATAATTGAGACAAAAGAATAGAAAGATCTGGTGCAAAAATAGAATCACAGTCTACCCAAACCCAACCCTGCTGAAAAACACCCCCCTAGAAAAGCTTTAGTATAAAACAAGGAAAGCATAATATAGATATGCCCAAATAATTATCTCTACCAAATTACTTTAAAAACACTTTATTCCTAGTAAACTGCATTATTTTACCTGTTCAATATTTCCATCAGAACACAGTGGTATAGCAGTGTCAAAGCAAAATGAATGGATGGGGAAGAGCTGCATATATACCACCAATTGTCCCTAGTACTATTACAATAAATCTCAAATGACTTGGATAGTTATGTCAATAACATTCTAAAATAAAAGGTTTGTTTTTTAAACAAACCTTTGTGGCAATTATACTAAATTCAATCTGATTAACCTAGGCCTGTCCATTTTGGTGGTTTTAGCAAATAAATGGCCATAGAAATACATCATAAAAGTCACAAATGCTAAGTCATAAAGGGAAAATAGCTGTTTTCCTAACCCTAAAGGTTCTGTGGAACATTGCTTCTTCATTTTACTACTATCATCATTGTAAAAACCCACTATTGCCAGGCATGGTGGTACATGCCTATAATCCCAGCACATGAGAGGCTAAAGCAGGAGGATCATGAGTTGAAAGCCAGCCTGGGCTACATATTGAGTTCCAGGCTAGCCTGTACTACATGGTGAGATCGTATCACAAAACAAAATAAAAATGCTACTGTTAATTGACTAACTTCAATATGGGAGGCATTATGGTAAGTAAATTATACACTAACCTCATTTAATCCTCACAATAAAGCAATGAAATGTATATGCATACTGTAGAGTTAGTGCCTCTTACTAAAAAGAGGAAATATTTGGTCAAACTAATCTCTAATCACTACTTATGATACTAAATGAGAGTCCTTAAATAAATCCAGGGGGAAATTTGCTACGTTTCTAGTGAACAGCCCAGCATTATTGATTATTTAATATCCTTCCTTGCTCACTCTATCCCTGAAGCAACCATTCAAAACTGGGAACACCTGAGGGCTGGGGGTGTGCCTCAAGTGCAAGGCCCTGAGTTCAAATCCCACTACTGTACCACCCTCCCCAAAATGGGAAGACCATCCATTGGCAGAAGACATGAACCAAGTTCCTAGTCTTTATAACAGGAAGTGGACCTTTATACTGCTCATTTGATATAAATATATGGGTTACTTTCCAATCACTGCACAAAACATTAGAGCCTCAGGAACGCAGCAGAATGCTCAACCATGACTTGGCTACTATCCAGAAGTTGCCAGAAGCAGCTGATATTTGAGAAAGATAGGCTAAATCTAACTGGGTTATTTATTCTCTCACTTTCTAAAGTGAAATCACCACAAAGCAATTTACCTGGACCACATTAGCTCAGCTACCCAGAGAAATACTTTCATAAATTGAGCTCCATTATTACACCCTCAGTGCCTATTGAGAATCTATATGCAGTATCACCTTTCAAAGAACATTAGCACAATTTTCATAAAACAGCAAGTAAAGAAATTTTCTCATGATTCTTAACATTCTGTATATATAAATATTCTTAGAATTTACTGTCCCCCAAACATTTATGCCTGTGGATTAAATTGTAAGCTTAACTTTATCTGGCAACAATTGCATGCCCCACCTGGCTTCTCTTTGTGCCGTGATTTCCAGGAAACTTATACTAAATTTAGCGCTCAATGGTAGCCACTCTCACACAATTCAACATACACATATCTCTTTCCACTTCAAAAGAGACCTTTTTTCCCATTTGTTGCTTTGTTTACCACCCCCCCCATGATCAAATAGTGCATGATCTGTATGGGAGATATGGAAAGTACAGAAATGAATAAAGCAGCAGAGGATATAAAGCAGCAAGAAAAATAGTTTCAAATGGTGTATGATCTCTTTTGCAAAATCTGGTTCCACTGCCTGGGCCTAGGCCTGCTTTAATGCTATAAGGAATACAACTTATTTTTGGAAGCGGGTAACTGTTGACTATCCCAGTCTTGGAAGAGGCTAGGCTGCACACTTGCTTCTGCATCGCTGGATGGTAGGGAAAGGAAACCCAGACTACTTAGGCTGAGTGTGGGATACCGGACATTGAAACTAGAAAAGACCTTTCAGATGGTCTGGCCTGATCCTTTCATGTTTCTGATGAGGAGTTCTGTCCTCCCCATGCCAGGCTCCTTGCTTATAATCTTTGTACCCACATTATAAGAAGCATCACTAATCTGACTGGTCTAAGTACTGGGCTTTTCTCTAGGTCACATTTACTATGGACATTTACTAGAATGGAGTAGACAAGTGTTAAAAGGCATAAGCCTCTACTGCACTCTTTTACTTTTCTTTTCCCACACAGCTGGCCAGCCAGGCCAGGCTGATGCAAGTTCTGCCTTAGCAGGTCCTGCTGGTTCTCCCTTGGCTTTCTTGCCTGAGTACCTGCACCTACTATATCATGTAGTCAGAAAGGGGTAGTAGAATCTCCAGATTTCCATTCAGGGAGGTAGGAAGTACACAGCTCTGATGGTTTGACAGGTGCTGGACCAGCTTTAAAAATAAGACAGAACATGGTTTCCTCTTTGGCTTCAGGTTCTGGTACATGTATCCTCTGCCCCAAAGCTCTTTCTAATATCTAAGAGAATGTCTGACTTTACCTGGAATAAAATACCTAGTTCACTAGGGAAAAGAAATCCTCAGTAAAAGACTCAAGGGATATGAAAGCTATGGTGAAAGTCTCCAAAAATTAGAAATATAAGGTTCTCCAAAGACAAATGCTCAAAGAATATGAGGGCCAATTTTCTTTTTAGTGTTGAAAATACAGGTGAATAGAGATTTGAGTTTGGTAAAGTTAGAAACATGTTGATTTTCAAATATATTACAGAACTGGGTTGAATTCAAATTATAAATATTAAATGACCCTGGCCAGAATCAAAGTGGAGCTTCCTAGAAAATGCTTCCTTTCCATCATTTAGTAAAGCTGCTTGTAAATCTCTGAGCTGTAGAACTTTGGAGCTGCAAAGGATCATAGCTTTTATTCAAACCAATGTTTATGGATAATCTTAAAAAGCAATCTCTAAAAACATGAATCATAAATTATATCCATACCCAGTCAGCAGGAAACTGTATACAAAGCGTATGGAAGAGGAACTGGCTTCTTTAAATAGAAAGGACCTCTGGGTTCAATTTTTGCTTTGATGACATAAACCCAAACTCCTACTCTTGCAAAGTACTTTTAAAAACCTTTGACTGATGAGAATTTTGAAATGGCAATTTCTGAAGCAACCTAACCTCAATTTCCTAAGAGTCTGTCTGACCCTTTTTGTTCTCCTTATGGCCTGAGATGGAAACACAAGTAGCACAGAAAGACTCTGAGTAACACCTGAGAAGAGAAAGGGGCCATTACGAGCATTCTCTTTGGCCCATGGCAGGATATGTCCTTGGAGGAACCCCTATTTTTTGATACCCCCAGCACTTATCAACTGTCCCTTATTCTGGAGGCTGAGAAACCTAGGAGAAGTAATAAACGCAGCCTGTGTCCTCAGGAGGGTTATAGTCTCTGGGCAGGTTGCATTTAGATGAGCTGGTACAAGGTTTATAGTACAGAGGACCAGAGGAGTGAAGAAAGGCTCATGGAAATGGAGGACCTGAGCTGAGACTGATGAATAAGAAGTGGAATGACAGCAAGGAGAACACAGCGATAGTAACTAACGTCAGCCTTGTAAATATCTGATTGTATGTGGTTTTTTGGTCAAAATGATGCCTAGGAAAATGTATACCCATGTTTTCTTTACCACTGAAGGAAACATTTTTGAAATAATGATGACATAAAACTAACTCCTAATCAAATGGTATGGTGTTCACCATTTCACTCAAGCACCCCAGCATGGGGTCTCTTATATAAGAATACACACCAGTAACTAGTCTTTGTTGATATGTGTATAGGGGAATGGGAGGTGAAAAGAAAGGGGAGCAGAAGGTGGTGAACAGAAGGCCTGAGCAGTCACCAGTCCAACTATCATTTTCCTCCTTACACAGTTAAAATACATTTTAAACGTGAACTTCAATACTGAAATAAACTGTGTAGGTTACATGTGTACCAAAGACTTGGCATTAGAGAAATGGTTTCTTTTTTTCTTAATGTTTTTCCCCTTAGCCCCTGCAATAGGCATTTAACTAGCTAGCTATAAACCCCGACTTTAGGGCTATTCTGAATAACTTTGGAGGGGTGGTCAGGGGACAGGAGTACTCACATGAGGAATGTTCTGACGGAGGAAAGTAAGCCGGTGTCCTGGAGAAATGCAGCAAGGAGAGCTCTGATGCCAAATTTCTCCTCCTGGAGAATGTAGTCGCTTCTTTGTGCTCCAAAGCAGGAAGGGAGGATTGGATGGAAACTGAAGTACCAGTCACTTGGGTGTGCACATTCTCCTCTTCTGGGAGTTCCTTCCCCTTCTCCAAGGAGCCTGGGGATGTTCCACTCTCCATTTGAGAAGGAGCAATTCTTCCTTCTGACCCTGAACTGCTGGTGGTAGGTTAAGCCTTTTCAATGCTGAAAGCAGACAGCAACAATTAAAATTCTACCAGCAGACTTCCATATGTCTTAATCATCTTCAATGATTATTGAATGACCTCCATGAAATATAGAGATGTGAAAAGAAATTAGGAGTGACTATTCATTCTATGAAGAATGAAGTTCTGAAAGACCATAGAGATAAAAGACTATTTTTTGATCTCACAGAGTCTGATTTTGGGGTAAAATTATCAATAAAGTGGCAAATTGAAGGTAAGTATCAGACTATATGGAATTAGACATCAGTATCAGAGCATCATGATTTATCACTGCAGTCCACAAAGTTGGTCCCAGAGTTTACTGGAATTCAGCATAAACAACTCTCAGTATCTAGATGTCCAGCAAAATCAGGAGTACCATGTGTAGCATTTTTAAGCTCTGTAGTCACTATTCATAAATGGAACACAGAATACTTTCATATATTTCCTTTATAGAACCGAATGCCCCCAAATAGAGCTGTCACTGTGGTGTGAAACCATGAGGTCATCTTTGATGGCTCCAGCCTCTACTTTCAGGTAGAGCACTTAGCACTTTCCTGTGTTAAGTCTTTACCAAGCCTTTCTTCTTCATCCCCTGGTCACCTATTCAGCACCTGGTGTCTGGATATCCTTGTCCACCTGGCTGGTTTACCCCACTGTAGGTCCCCTTTATCTTCCTACCTCCATATCAGACATCATGGGCTTCCAGATAAATCCTCCCCAAATTTGCTTTAACAATATCACTCCATTATGCAAAGAGCTTCAGTGACTCTTTCCACCACACCCATATAAACTGCTGGGTTTGCAAAGTCCTCCATGATTGTCCTATCTATCACACAACTGTCCCACTCACTGCTGTGTACAATTTATGCCTTCCCCCAGGAAGAATGCTTGTACTGCTGTCCCACAAAGAGGCCACACTTGCCTTTCTCTCTTTTGTACCTTCCCTCAAACTGGGCATCTCATTCCTCAGCCACTCTACCCACCTCACTAAGATACACAGACTTAGGCTGAAATCCTAGCTTGGAAACCTGCTGTTTGTCTTCCACACATTGGATTATTAATGACTCTGAGCTTCAGTTTCCAAATTCCTAAAATAAGAATAGTGTGACCTCACCAGCATGTTGGTACATAGTAGGTAACTAATTACCACTAGTTTTCCCTATCTTCCTCAGTCAGGATTCTTACCATGGATCCCTGGCCCTTTCTTGAAATCCTTTGCTAAAAATGGCAATCTGCCAAGCTGTGCAGACTGAAGCAAGGAACAACCACCTGAGCCCCATCACCACAACCAAAGACAGGCTGGCCATTGAAGGATCCTGTGACAGGATCCTTGGAGGGATGAGGTTTGGGTTCAGACTGGCCATGAAACAAAGATGCCATAGGCCCAACCAGGATGTTCAACAAATCTGCACCCTCATCTAGTCTATAAGTATGCCACAGATGGGGACTTAAGTCACAGGTCTGATCCACCCCCAGCTCAGGGTCCCTCGATGGGCAGTTGCTCTGGATGGAGGGGAAGAGGATGTGGCAGAAATTTTGTTTTCCGGGACTGGACATACTTGAATGAAATGAGCATAATCACACAAACTCACGTAAGGTGCTGCCGTGGGAAGTTAGAGTTGTGGTGATTTCAGACGAGTGCCCAAAAGGCAAAATGGTGAAGTTTGTTGACCTTGAAGACTCATTCCTTCCCTCAGCACTTGCTGTTTCTGTTAAGACAGTGAGGTTTTCTGGAGCTTCCGAAGAAATGTGACTCATTCTGAAGGTCTGCACCATCGTATCCTCTCTGGAGCTCACTGTTGAAAGGTCCTCTTGGTTCTGATAAAAGGTGGTATTTTCTGTGTGGGGTTCAGTGTTGTTACTTTCTGACCTATAGTTCCTTACAGCAGCTGAAACAATAAGAAACCATATTAATGAGAATGTGCTGGTTTCTGAAAAGTAAGCTTTCAGAGAAGACTGCCATCGTGAACTGGCCATTTGAAGTTATTTTCTCTTTCTATATAGGATTAGGGCTGTGGGCACAGTGGAAAAAACCTCTCTGGGAATGAATGAAATCGTTTCTGTATTTATGAGTAAGGCAACAATGTCAAACCATCTTACAGGTAGAGACTACAGGCAGATACTTAGATACATTTTGTATCTAAATATGTGTGCATGCACACACACTGAACATACAAAAAGAACAAGTTATCTTTTAGATTAGTAATTGTCCAAAAGATAAATTGAGCAACAAACACAATCCACATAAGAACCTTAGAAGCCACATTTAAAAAAATAATAAAAGGGTAAAACTAATATCTTCATTCAACATATCCAAAATATTATCATTTCATTGTGTACTGGATATAAGAAATATCAAGTTTTTTTTTTGCATTAAACCTTTAAAATCCAGTGAGGGTTTTACTGGTCATATTTCAAAAATTTGATAACCATGGGATTGGCTAGTAGCTGCCTTACTAAACAGTGCAGTTCCATCATTGGTACCAGAAGCAGTGGTGCACTGATTTGAGGAGGATTGGGTGGTGGTTATAAAAACTTCCATAAGAGATTCTAACAGACTTTCCTAAGGGAATCATTTCCTCCACAAATCCTTTGAGAATTACTGTTTCTATACCTTCTAGTCTGTTTCCTGGAGGTGATAATTAGCAGAGGTTTCCTGGAGGGGGAGGGAAGTTGCCCAGGCATTTGGGCTACTTTGGGCCCAGCCCTAGGCAGGCAAGGTCCACACTCTGCTACAATGGGATCCAAAGTGGCATTTTGAGGGTCAGCCACAAAGTCCCTGGGGTTGAGATCCTGGGGTTGTGGACAGCAGTGACCCATAGAGCGTGCTCCCTTTGTTCTTCCTATCTGAGCTGCAAAAGCAACCTGACCTCCCCAGAAGAGGTGAAAGTGTTCAAGGAAGCTTTCTCTGTCCTCTTGGTTACATCTGGGCATAATGAGAAAAGTTATTCTCAAAGGAAACCAGAAACAGTGATTATGGGGAGGCAGAATGATCTCAGACCCATGCCCCAAAGCTGGCAAGCTATGAGTAAAGGGAAGGTAATGAGCTTATCTCTATTACAGCATAAGACAAACATGAGACTGGCTACTGGGGAGTATGGCTAGCCTTGGATGAAGCAGCGATGTCCCCTTCTTCAGGGAGCAGGAGTACCAGACTCAAGTCAGCTTAAGGAATTCCACTGAGGGAAAAGAACGGCCACATGCAGACAGAACATGGCTCACATTGAACCATACTTTCTCCCTGAGGGTAGACTAAAGATGTAAAAAAGAAAAAATGCACACTATAAAGAAAACTAAAAAGGGCTGACAATAATCCTGCAGTATCCTCAATAATCCTGCCACTATCAACAACTAAAAATTCTGAATAAAATAATTTTTAAAAATTTCTAAATGCATTGCTGAGATTGTAAGTAAAGAATCAAAGCTTCTGAGGCCAAAAATGAACAAAGATTAGGACTAGAGAAAGGTGAGCTGAGACTGAGGCTAGCACCTACTCAACATCTGTGACCTTGAATTGTTCTGATGGCCACAGGATGTAGGAGGTGGGAGACAAACTCTGTCAAGGAGAGAGGAAGTCTGAAAGAAAACTGCTGTGTCACACTGGGACCCCCCCAAAGGACTATAGCTTGGGTACAGGCAAACAGAACAAACCTACCCCACACAGGGGACAGCAAGGAAACCTGGCTTTCAATCTTATTTTTAAGCAAAAGAAAATGTAAATCTCCCTCAAAAATATATAACCATAAAGTGGGCCTTATGTGGTGTTACCTATGTGGTCTGAACCTCAACTTCAGAATGTAGGTAGACGTGGTCTTAAGCCTCATGAATATACTGAAAATGACTGAATTATACTCTTTAAAGGGTGATTTAAAAGGATATGTAAATAGTATCTTGGATACACACACTCATGCATATACAGACTGGACAAAGGGTAGGTGGGGGAGTGGTCCTGGTAGTGCTTCCAGGTACCTGGTAGAAACTAATGGATATGCTCTCTAGATAAGCATACTTTCAAGCCAATTTCTTTCATTTACTGATAAAATTCTAACAAATAAAAAATTATAGTAAAAAACCACAAAATATATAAGGAAACAAGGCATCCACGAAAAAAAAATAGCAAATTAGGCAGGCTAAGAAATACTAGAATACTAGAATTATCAAAGAGTATATGTAAAATTATATTAGAAGAAATAAGGAGACTATAAGTAATGCCAAAAATATTTGAAATAAACCTTAATGGAAATTCTAAAAATGAAAAAATATAGTAAGTGAAATTAAGAACTCAGTAACAGATAAAGCTGAAGAGAGAATTAAGAACTAGAGGATACATAAGAGAATATCAAGAATGAGATAAAAAGGAAGTATGAACAAGAGGTTGAGAAAAGAAAGTCTGAGAAAGTTCAACACACATCTAACTGGAGTTCTAGGAGGTAAAAGGAGAGGAGAAGTGGAAATACTCAAAAAGACAATAGCTAAGAATTTTTCAGAACTGATGAAAAGCAGAAATTCTCTAAGAAAGTCCAACAAAATCCCAGATGCTAAATGAAAAAGAAATATATATTCATATCAGTGAAACTGCAGAAAACATAGAGTAAGACTAAGTCTTAAACACAGCCATAGGAAAAACTTGACAAATTATCCATACAAGAGGCAATCATGCTGACAGCAGGTTTTTCAATGGCAACAATGAAAACCAAAAGATAGAGTGGATAAATGTCTGCAGTGTGAAAGAGAACAAAAGCAAATTGTATACTCAGCGAAACTATCAAAAATATCGAGACTAGTAAGTAAAACCACTGTCTGTCAAAACTGAGTTCACCTCTGTTAAAGGAAATTACTGAGGATTCATTTCAAGTAGAAGAAAAGCAATACTAGATGCAAGAAAACATAATGAGCAAAGAAAATGGCAAATGTGTGCCTAGACCTAAAGAAACATTGAATTTATGAAAAATAACAAGCTTTCATTAGCAGGACTAATAAAGTATGAAGGAATAATCCTGGATAACAAAGAGTCTGCAGGTGAATGATCAGAGTCATGTGGCATAGGAGGGTAACTGAGTAGTGTGAAAAATACATTTCAGATACCTCAATCTAACCCTAAAGAACGAGAGTATATCACTTTGTAGATTGATTCTGGGGAGCAGAGAATTATAGTAGGCATGTAGGTGCTGGAGGTGTGGCTCCAGTGGTAAAGCATCTGCCTAGTAAGCATGAGGCCCTGAGTTCAAACCCCAGCACCACACACACAAAACAAGGCATATATTTTGACCCAGGAATCCCATTTCTAGAAACTGATTCTAAGGAAATTGTAAAGGAAGTACACAAAGTGATCAGTATAAGGAAGTTTATCACAGCCTTGTTTATAGTAATGAAAATTGGAAACAACCTAAATTTTTGCAATAGTAGTTGCTTAAACATTTTCAAGAGCTGACTAAAATATGTTATGGATACAGTTTCAGAACTCACCTTATACTGCTAAGTACACACACAAGTTACAAAATGGTATGTACCATATGATCTCAAATTATTAAATATGTGTCTATATTTAAATGTGTCTAAGAAAAAGAAAATGGCTGGTATCTTGATATAAAAAAGACTCCAAGTCTGGAAACCTCAAGAAGTCACTCTGAAATGGGCTTTCATTGATGACCCTCAAGTAGGTAAAGTCTGTAGAACTTAAATAGAAAGTTGGCTCATGAAACTCACAAATGTGTATGGTGGGTTGGGGCTCTTGGTGACATTTCTGATGCATAAGCATGTGAGTAGCTTTTGACTCCATAGCTAAAGGGCTGATGAGTTTATTTGTGCCAAAGTTAGTACCCGTTGTGGCCATAACTGGCAGCCTGATCAAAGAGAGGAGGCTAATAACCATCTCTCTAGAGCATCTAAAGACAATATACACCCTGTGTCAGTGCTGTCACTGCTGGGCCCTGCTGACCTCAAGCCCTTTAGTTAGTGGATACCACAGCTGCCTGGACTGGTGAGAAACTTACCAAGTTTGGTGTCCCTTTGTATTTGGGGTCTAGTCCTTTCTTACCCCCAGGAACAGAGGAGGCAACTTTAAAAACTTGCTTGTTGTTACTCACATTTTGTGAATCTTTGTTCCCTGGGTAAAGGAAATGAGCTTGCTTCCAGTCCCAGGCCTGAATCTAGAAATTCAATTCTCAAGAAAAGAGACAGTGGGTAATGCATAGACTGGTTACATCAGACTGTCTGGGTTACACTTCTGAGGCTCCACCACTTACATGTTGTGTGATCATAGATAAGAAATAGAATTTCTCTGTGGCTTGGCTTCTCATCTGTAAGACAGGGTTCTCTTCACTGGGTATTCCGAAAACTAATTGAGTACATACATGTAAGAGCTTAGAAAAGTACCTGTACATAGTGAGTGCCCTGGAGACAAGGAAAGGAGAGGGAATGGATACCCCAAGCTGTGGAGAACAGGTCAGCGGGATGGCTGGATGGGAGCAAGACAGGAAGGTGACATCTTGGATGCTCAGTGGAAGCTAGTATTGGTCACCTGACCCAGGCCAACTCCCCAGGTATCAGAGGTGATACTCAAAACCCTACTCATGGACCATGGCCACTGAGCCACACCAAACAGCCACACACTGAAACTGGCATATCAGTTTTTCAGGTATCTTTTGAGCAGGAAATGCCATCCTTCCTTTGGCACTCAGTCATGTCAGGCCACAATGTTCCCTTGTACCATGAATGGAGATTAAATTAACAAGCAAGTTTTTCCCTCAAGTTGACAACTTCCACTTCTATAGTGTCTTAATGCTCCAGAACATCTGTTTGTGAGACAGCATCATGAGGGATGCTGGCAGAGTCTGGGATAGGATTTCCTAATGAGCAGCTGCTACGGCACAGCTCCTCGCCACCACCC